TTTACTATTACATCTATATCAACATATATTACACGAAAATGGTTTGTCTCCGGTGTGTATTTTCATATGCCTTAGCAACTTACATTTTTCAATAAATCTATGTTCACAGATATCACATGAAAAAGGTTTTTAACCAGTGTGTATTTTCATATGTGTTTGTAAATAACTCTTTGTATTGCATCTAAATTCACAGATATTACACGAAAAAGGTTTTTCACCGGTGTGTGTTTTCATATGTTTTGGCAAATCACTTTTTCTATTAGATTTATATTCACAGATATTACACGAAAAGGGTTTTTCTCCGGTGTGTATTTTCATATGTCTTTGCAAACTACCTTTTGTATTAAATCTAAATTCACAAAGATTACAGGAAAAGGGTTTTTCACCGGTGTGGTTTTTCATATGTGCTTGCAAATGACTCTTTGTAATACATCTAAATTCACAGATATTACACGAAAAGGGTTTTTCACCTGTGTGTATTTTCGTATGTCTTTGCAATTCACATTTAGTAATAGATTTATATTCACAGGTATTACACGAAAAAGGTTTTTCTCCGGTATGTATTTTCATATGTTTTTGCAAATTACTTTTTGCAATACATTTATAATCACAATTATTACAACAGTACACTTGCTTAGCGACGTGCGCTTTAAGATGTGCTAAAATGCGACGTTTATGAGATGTTTCAAATTTGCAAATATCACAGTTATATATATCCATTAGTTGTGATACTCTTTTCAGTTTAGGCTTTAATTTAATAGTAAGGCTTTCTAAATCAATGTTTCCTTTACGAACATCATTTATGTTACAATCAGTAGAATTTGATTTAATCTTTTTCTCACACTGTTGTTGTTGTTGTTCTGAAATAGAAATGAATCAAACATTTTATTTATTGTAAGACATTGTATCTTTATTTTAAGATAACTTAGACGGCTTAGAGCGGGCAGAATTTACGCCTTATCCTCGCCTCCCTGATACAGAGAAATTATAATATTTTACATACTCGTAATTACGTTGCAAGATATATAGTATTTTAGCCAATTACTCTGATAATGTCTCTCATATTTTTGGGGGAAAGAACGAATTTAAATTCGAATAATAATTATGAAATTCTTCCGACCGTATTACAATTACATTAATCTAATAAACACTGGTTCGAATCCCACACAGAAAGAGTATTATACATCCATACATTTTGACTAGTATTTTTTGCAGATATTAAGAATATAAACTAGGTAGTAGTATTAGAAAAATCTATTCTAAATAATAGCTGTTTCGAATTCCACATAGAACTAGTGTTACACACACAGTACAGTCGAAGTTGGCGCGTAAGTGCGGCATAAGAGAATTCATCATCACATTTTATCCCGTGGGTTTCGTAAGAGGCGACTTTGGGTTTAGTTTTCCGACAAATGACGGTATAACCACCTCGTCCACTTCAGATGTAAAATATCCAGACCGGCGACAGGCAACATTGCCAGAGGCGCTCACGTCTGGTTCTGCGATTGTCAATCCTATGCCAAGCGTGACGACTGAGGCAAATCCTCCCTACATCGGGAGAGACCCTTCCATGTGCAGCAGTGGAAGTTTACGGGACGATTAAGATAGAGAAATTATTTGTAGGCCATACAAAGACTCAAAACAAGCCCTGGTAGCTCAGGGGCCAGTAATTTGTCGTAAAATTTCACAATACGCTAGTAACCCAGATTCGGTCTCCACAAGCACCCATAAAATTGTTAATTTTATATGTGTATGTGTATATGGTCAGGTGATAGGTTGTCATAATATTTAACAGTTTAGTCATAATATTTAAAAAAATCTTTGCTATGTATTTTAAAAATTCCAGGCATTTAAAAAAAACTCGAGAAAATCTACATCCTATAAAGGTCTTTTAACTCCTGTGCTACAAATATCAATTCTTATTTTTAATTTTCTTCTTATTATGTAATCCTGAACAATGATTCGGCTTAATATTTACATTGGACTGCTCCAGTCCAGAAGGAAATGTAATTTTTTTCCCAACCATGTATTTAAAATTAATTCTTTGCCCAGGTTTAAACGACTGTACTGAAAAGAAATATACTACACGAGTTTGGCAAGTAACTTTAAAAGTTGGCGCATTTAATAAGGATTCCAAAATGGTATAAAACTTGCAAGACTATTTGTTAAATTATGGAAAAAAAGTTTTTAAGTGTACCCCGAGGCTTTCCTCAAGCCCGTTACTTAAGATTCTAGTTTGAGTGAAACGGAGGGAACCAGTTGACGAAGTGTGACCGAGACAGATAGTGACACTATTTTTCACTGTCGCAAACAAAATTAAGTTTATTACGTTTTGCGCATCTTTCTCTATTCTTTCGTGTTGATTTCGTATTTGGCTTCGTTTTTTTTTTCTTGTATAGAATAAGGTGACAAACGAGCACACAGTCCACCTGATGGTAAGTGAATGCTGTGGCCCATAGACATCTACATTTATCCTCGATTAAAAATCAAAACGCAGATGCGTTGTCACCCCTAAAGACTAAGATTGAACGACTCGTTTCCAGTATAAAACTAAAATTAAAAATAGTTAAAATTTGTAGCAACAGAAGTTAAAAGACCGTCATAGGATGCAGATTTTCTTTCTCGATTTTTTCATAAATGCTGGTAATTTTTAAAATACATAGCAAAGATTTTTTTTATATTTTATATGTATGTATATATATAGTTCTAAGATACATATATAGGGTCTCCTGTTCTCTACACTCTCCATACGAAACACAGCAGCATTAAGCTACTATTTCATGTAGGTATTCTGCGAGAGCGTGGTCCTTCCCCAGTCAAGCTCACCCATTTGAACTGCATCCACAAACCAGCTATATCGTGACTTTACCATGTTTAATATCTAATTTTAGGTGTCAAAATATTATTATAATGAAACACATTTACGGATTAGTTCCCAACGGCAAAGGATACAAAATCCCTTGGCAGTACAGTTAATAGTATCCACACATGCCGCCGACTTATGCCGCCGGGTTTGCCGTTTCTTGCCACTTTTGCCTGCGGCCTTCAGATGCGGTTGCAATTTTCGCAGTAGTGTTGTGACTTTCGTCGAAGTTAGTCGTGTACGTAGGATTGGAAGATGTTGGACTATAATATGGTTGCGTGTATCGCAAGTGTAGTGTTGTATGTTATTATTCATAAAAAGAACCGCAAAATCAAACGAAGACATTGGGTCAGACCAAGTCTACGAAATAGGCCTAAGGTGTCCCTCATACTTGAAGATTTTAGAAAGGACGACATAAACCGAAGAAATATTCGTTCGAAATTTAACACTTTTCTAAGGATCTCTAGTGAAGAATTTGAAATATTACTGAATTTAACTGGACCCATGATATCAAAAACTGACACCCGCTGGAGAAATGCTGTCAGCTTCCGATCGACTAGCAATTACTTTGAGATATCTGGCTACAGGAGACTCTTATTTTTCACTCGGTACACTGTTTAAAGTGTCTCCACAAGTTATTTCTTTAATAATTCCAGATGTTTGTCAAGCTTTGGTATCTACATTATCCAATTATTTAAGGGTAAGTACAAATATCCATAACACATTAGGTAGTTAGAAACCGAACGCCTATATTAGAAAACAAAACAGATTATTATTTATTATATATTATTATTATTATTATTCACACAGTTATGGCATGTACAAGACACAAACATTTTAACTAAAAGATTCTTGCCAGGAGAGTTCACAGGACAACGGTTTCCTAAGTGACGTATCAGTCTATTCCTAGTCGAATTATAATGTCTATGATTTTATACTGTACCTGGAACTTCACACACATTTTACATACATATAACTAAAACTACACACACAAATATCACAAACAATTTTATTTTACAGATGCCGAATACACAGGGAGAATGGCTATCAGTGGCTCGGAGTTTCCTGCAGAAATGGAATGTACCTAATTGCGTAGGTGCCCTCGATGGGAAATATATACGTATACTATGTCCAAATAATAGCGGTTCCGAGTTTTTAACTATAAGTCATATTTCAGTATTGTTTTGCTAGCTTTAATCGATGCCAATTATAACTTTTTATACGTGGACATTGGATGTCAGGGCAGAATATCTGATGGTGGAGTTCTACGAAATTCAACTTTATTTGATATGATACGAGATGGTACTTTAAGTCTGCCACAAGCGATTCCATTACAAGGGAGAAATACACCTGTACCTTTTTATTTCATCGGTGACGATGCTTTCCCCATCTCACAGAATATAATAAAACCATTTTCTGGATATCATGCAAAAGGATCACCTGAGAGGGTTTTTAATTATAGAATTAGTCGCGGGCGCATGGTTGTAGAAGACGCGTTTGGCATTTTATCTAATAAATTCAGAATTTTGCATTCACGCATTGGTTTACAAAATGAGAAAGCAAATATTGTCGTGATGGCTTGTGTGCATCTGCATAATTTTATGAAGAGAAATGAAAGAACTACTGATGGAGTTATGAACGAAGAGCAACAAAATATTGCGCAGATCGCTCTAAATGTAGAACCAAGTGTAATTAGAAATGAGCTAAAATGTTATTTTCTATCGGAACAAGGTCAGCTTCCGTGGCAATATCAAATATAATGTTTGAAAGAAATAAAATGTGATTATTCAAATAATTGTTTTATTTAGGAATCTGAAACACTTATCAATAATTTTAAGCTTTTAATAAAATAAAATAATTTAACCGAAAATATAAACATTTATTTTAATCTATTACACTATTTTCGGTTAAATTATTTTCCAAGACTAGTAACAGACTGTCACTTGTGTTGACATCTGGGCTGTTTTGCATTTCATAGTCTGATTGAACAGAGTAAGAGCGCGAAGTTGAGGGCGACGGTGACATTGCTGACGTTGTAGGTTGGCCTGTGAAGTATTCTGGACGAACATTTTGATGACGAAGAGGCTGAGTAGTATTATTGGTCCTATCAAAATACATCGAACCCATTCTCATTCTGCTATAGACAATAGTCTGGATTGTTTAACATCGTGTAACGATCCATCTTCCTCAACTTGCTACTTATATAGTCTGCAAATATAGCAGCATCATCGCGTTGCCTTGCATCAGATGTAATCTCCCTCAGTAATTGCAAAGCTTCATCAACTTCAGGATCTCTCTCTATATTTCGTTTTCGTGAAGTCCTTGTCGAAGGTAGCGTAGTCTGGGGAGTGATATTATCTTGAGAAGACTGAAAATAAAAAGGAAATCTTATAAATAAATACAAACAAGCTTAACATCTACGGCGAATGCATGTCTTTTCGTAACTCGTACCGCGCATTATTGTTTCACTTTTATCGATGTTAATAAACATTTATATTTCTTTATAAAAGTAGTGTTTAAATGATAGGTTTATCTTAACCTGCCCTAACACACTACAGTAGGTAGTAGGTATCTAATATTAATACGCGAGGCAAAAACTTTGTACCCCTATTTACGAAAATATTATTTATTGAAATAATGTATTTTAAATTAATTATGGTCGATTTTCGACCAATGGGCGACCAACTAGTCTATTTAATTATAAGAATTTGATGGGTACTTACTTTAGATGTGTGGCTGTTCAGAGTCGGTACCGGTGCATTCCTGTCATTAAGAAATGATAACGCCTTATAAACAAACCATTTCGGCAATTGAACATCTTCCCGTCCAGATCCACTCCTTTTAGATTCTTCATATTTGCGTTTTTCTCGAAAATAATGGCTGGATAAATTCTTCAGTTTTCTCTCAATTTCTGATGATGCTATGTTGAACACAGAAGCAATATCTCCAATAGCATCATTTCTTTTGTTGCGATTTTTGAAATCCATATGCCTTGGGTTCCACAATAGTTCATTTTCTTGATACTTTTCTATTAGTAAAAGTACTGCACTATCATCCCAGTTAAATTCTGTCATTTCGTTGTTTAAGTATATGAAATTATGTTATTCACGAATACTACAACACTACCACTCCGTATCGAAGCCGCAAGCAAACTGCCGCCGGCAACCAAAAGCCGCGCGTGCTGCAGGGGATGGCCGGCGGCCTGGCCGCCGTATCGGCCGCCGGCCGTGCCGCCGGGCATGTGTGGATGCACCATAAGGTATATGAATCTTTAGGCATAATAAAAAGTAAAGAAATAAAACGTCACATGTTTAACAAAGAACCTAAAAGAATAAGTTGACCCTGCAGGCCATCCCTGGAATTTCACGCTAAACGTTAACCGTTATTTAAAGAAAAAACTTTTTTATTTTTTGACGATAACTTTCGAATGGATCAATCGATTTCGATGTAATTGATGGCAATCGACGAGGATTTTAAGAACAATCATAAATTCTAATAGATCGGAGAAAATATTTCTTCGTATTTTGTTTGTATAAAATTGAAGAAAAATCTTTTTGGTTGTAATGTTTGTATCTGGCTGGTTTTAATATCAATACGTACAGGGCATTAAGTTTAAAAAAGTAAAACAAAACTTTCCCGCCATTTTCCAATTGCTTTTCTGTTCGCTAAAATTAATGAACCTAACGAAGAAATGCCGCCATTCCGAAGATTTATTACAAAAAAAAAAGGGGAAAATGCTACTCAAGCTGCCAAAAAAAAATTACGACGTTTATAGACCTAATGCAGTGTCAGTAAGAGAGTAGCACAAAGTTGGTTCAAGCGTTTTTAGTCTGGTAATTTTGATGTAAAAGATGCAGCTCGCTCTGGTCGCCCTCATATTGATAAAGTCTACGCCATCTTTGAAAAAGTGGAGCAAGATTGACATATTAGCAGTACGACATAGTCGAGTAATTGAGTATTGACCACAAAACAGTTTTGACTCATTTGAAAAAGTCTGACTAAACAAAAAAGCTCGATATTTGGGTACCACACGAGCTCACTGTAACTTAACAAATAATGAAACTTAAGAAAGAATTTGAAAAAAAAGACAGCCGCAATTGAACAACAAAAAAAGTGGTATTTCATCATGATAACGCTAGACCACACACATCTTTGGCCGCTCACCAAAAATTGAGAGAGCTAGGTTGGGAAGTGTCAGTGATCACCATATAGTCCTGACCTTGCACCCTCAGATTTTCACCTGTTTCGGTCTATTCAGAATTCTTTGGATAGTGTTAGGTTAACATTAAGAGGGGACAAGATTTCTACAACAACGGGATTATGTCACTACCTACAAGATGGCAACAAGTTATCGAATAAATTGGCACATACACTTAAATGTAATTAAACTTTGAAATATTTTGTATTTAATGAGCTAGAAATCGAATAGTTGTTGCAGTTTTGTGTCATTTATTTAGTGTTTATTGTATATTTACGTGGTAACTTTGGACAATGACCTAACCGATTAATATTTTTTAAGTTTACCTTCATTTAATGTTTTTATATATTACTAACATTACCATAAAGAATGGAAGAAGCATTTAATAAAATGAGGTCGGGTGCATTAAGCCAAGGAAAGACTTGCAAACTTTGATTTGATTTTTGCAAAACTATTAGTGATGTTATTGATTGTCCTGAAATTTTTAATAAATTTAATATGTGCGTTCCATTTCGTTACCTGCGTTGTGCTCGTAAAATTACTGCCCTGATACGGAAGAAGGCGGCTAAGCCACAAAAGTATGTTTCGAGAAAAATTGAAAAAAAAAGCGCGAAATTGATTTTCTTGATAGATATCACCAAAAAAAATATTTCAACTATTGGAATCCATGTAAAAAAATTACGAATCTTTCATAAATACTTTTGAATGAAATTATTGGCATACTGTTCTGTAAACTGTAAAAATGTAGTTAACGTAAGTATTGAAACATTATATTTGAATATTAATTACAATATAAAAGGCCGTTAAGTATACCTTAACTGCTTTTAGTATAGCAACGACAATAATCATACGAAAAAACGCGGCTAACCTACTTTAACTTTCTTTTGATTTTTGACGCTTTGTTTAAATTATACATTTGGACTACACTTTATTGCTGTTAAGTGATATGACTACCTTATAGTATAGTTTATCAGCAAATAATCAAATTAAATAGAAGTGCAACTAAACTAAAAGGTAGTTAAATGTACATCAATCTCACTGAACCGCTTTTTTGGTTAGCATTAGCATAGGTATATTTTGTTATGTAAGTTTGAAAAGTTGCTAAGTGTAAAATAAAATGTGTTTTACTTTAAAGAATATCAAAACTTTATTCATGCTTAGCACAAACAATTATAAGGAAAAACAAGGGATTGTTTTTTATTCTTAAAGAATCTCTTTTTTATTTTGAAATGTGATTTTCTGTTCCACTAAAGCAATTTCAATTATAATTCTTCATCTTCTGCTAAATCCGATCTGACGAATCTGATTTATTTACTGATTTTTTTATCATGGAAATTGGTAGGTGGCATAAATAAAGTATGATATCGACTGATTGTCGTCTTCTTCGGAATCAGAACTGTTTTGTGGCATCTCCACGGACGTACACAGTTCATTCTTTTACAGAATCATCTGGGTCAAAATCTTCACCGCTTTATTCTTAATAATGGCGCTCCTCTACTGGTACTGGAAGACGTACTGTAGATGGCAAGGAGTAACCAATTTTCCAGACTTTTACTTATAGATAAACATAGACTTCTTTGAATTGGGAGTTATTCGGCGGCATGTTTACTGAATTCAAAGCTTCACCGGAGTTAAAATCTTTATCGGCTAATTCAATGTAACGATGCTCTTTGGAATATTTGGAGTTATTCTGGGACTTGTTCATCGGTGGCACACATTTTTTATCTATAGTGATCAATTTTTAAAAAAATAAAAATAGTATAAAATGAATTTATTTCAGAATTTTGGTCCATAAAAGTGTTAGTACAAAATATGAATTTACAAATTATGTTAGTAAAACAGAATAAAAACAACACTAAAACATTAATTTAAATATTTTCCGGGCTAGTTTGTGGCACTTGGTATATACGCATGTGTGTATATCCAGTGTCTCCATGTATGTATACCCAGTGTCTTTGACTGGACAGTCTGGTTTACCACTAATAACCTTCCGAATAGTATTGGAGCTCCCTCGCACTCTGCACATAAGAGACGTGAAACGTTGGCGTAGTACTACATTCCTGATGCGCTGCGAAATCACGGCAGTCCCGACATCACTCGAAAGGCTTTATTGAACTATACAATTAAATATAATATAATCATTACCATTTCTTCATAACAAAAAATATTCAAAACGTTTTATGGTTTTAGTTAGGTGAATTCATTGTGTATATTTATTTTGGTACAATGAGATATCAAGTTTGAACATCCCGCTTAACTTTTGGAGTTGATAAAATTTTGTAAATTGATTCAGAACCACTTATGAGATCTATAGAGTTTGACCAAGAGCAAAGTGAATCAATTATTATTTATTACAGAACGGGGAGCCAGTCGTGTCCAATGTGGCCACTGATTAAGTTTAAATGGTTTACAGTCTTCTGCCGTCTCTTCTCTCGCCATGCTCACTAACTTCTTGCCTTTGTTAAATCAAGGCATTATTCAAAGTGTAAAATAAAAAATATATAAATACACAAGGTCTATGGTACTAAAGCCTTTTCGGAAACCGGCTTGTTCGGGAGGCTGGAAGTCGTCGAGTCTGCGTGCGAGACGATTCGTAATCACTCTCGAAAACAGCACGTAGACGCGGCTCAGAAGGGAAATCGGTCTGTAGTTCTTCAAGAGAGCGTTGTCGCCTTTCTTAAAGAACAAGACCACCGCACTTCTGCTCCACGCCTCCGGAGTAGTGCCACCATGGAGGACGGAATTGAAGAGCTTCTGAAGGACTTCAAGTACCGGTGTTCCACCCGCTTTCAGAAGCTCCGCTGTAATTCCATCCTCTCCTGGGGCCCTGCCGTTTTTAAGGTGCTGGAGAGCCATTCTAATCTCGCTCAGACTGACGTCCGGGATATCATCGGAATAGTGTCGGGTAAGACTTGCTCTTGTATCGTTACTCACACTTGCGTGTGGCTCCAACGATGATGTGTACAGCTGCCCATAGAACCTCTCAATCTCACTCAAAATCTCAGGTGTCCCGGAAACGATGCTGCCACACTCTCAGTCTTCAGCTTTGACAGATGGCTCTTTCTGGCAGACAGATCTCTGGCAAAGACTTTGGAGCCCTGGTTTCGCTCGATCGCTTCTTTAATACGAGTAGTATTAAAATTGCGTAAGTCTTGCCGCATGCATTTGGAGATCTGTCTGTTCAGTTGCCTGTATGCTTTCAAATCTGTTGATGATTGCAGCCTCATCTCCCGTCTAACAGCCATGAGATTAAGAGTGTGATCGGAGAGTTTTTGTGTTCTTCTGCGGCGGGTCTTGCAGAACTTAGCTCCGACCGCATGGACAGTTTCCACGAGCTTGTCATTCATATCGTCCACTGCATAGCAATCTTCTAGGCACTGAAAGCGGTTACGTAACTCGAGCTGAAAAGTCTCGGGATTCTGGATTAGAGCACGAGGGGGACTGGACTTGACTTCACAGGACTTGCATTAGACGAGACCTCTCCAACTTAATGTTTAAGTTCAGTGTGCCTCTAACCATTCGGTGATCGCTGCCGGTTTTCGCCCTTGCGATCACTGAGACATCACTGAACAGTTGGCGTCTGGTCGTCATAATGAAGTCAATCTCATTTTTTGTCGAACCGTCGTGGCTCGACCAGGTCCACTTCCTGTGGGGCCGCTTCTGGAAGAAAGAGTTCATCATAAAGAGTCCCTCTTCCTCCATAAAGTCAGCCAGCTGCTGGCCCCTGCGGTTCCGTTGCCCTTACTCCAAATTTCCCTAACTTCAGCTCACCGCCTTCTCTTGTGCCTAGTTTTGCGTTGAAGTCTCCCATCAACACCGTGTAGTAGGTTTTGGAGGAATGCATGGCTCTAGAAATATCCTCATACATTTCCTCCA